TGAACTGACAAAATATTACCGGATACGCGTGCCTGATGAGCGGCAAGAGCCGCGAAACCGGTCGTGTGCTTCCAGGGAAATTTTGTCCAGCTATCCACATACTACTTATTATGGCATTATACAATTATACAATATATATATATATATATATATATATATATATATATATATATATATCTCAAAGCCATGGGAGAAGGGTATTTACTCCGAACTTTGTCTCCCACTGCTGTGTTTTTAGTTCTTTTGTATGACCGTACTAATTAACGCGACCTTGGTTGTCACGAAAAAATCTATGGTAGCCCTAAAGTTACCGTTCAGAATATTTTATGCAAAGCATCGTGGAAATTCAGTCTTTCTAATAAATGATTGCTTTTTTCTGAGAGAGTTAATTCTGGTCGGTACATGTATTGCAAATCGCTCATCTTTATGAATTCGGTGTGTTATACTTTCAGCAGCATATATCCACAAAATGTTTTCCTCAACATGTGACAATGGTTCGAAATAACCATAGCAGGGCATGTTTATGTCCATCGAATGATTAATTATGTGGACAACCGACTTATTATGAACGGAAAAGGTTATTCAAAACGTAAGGTCACCATTCAGTGTTCGTAAAACAAATGTTTTATTCGTTCTTTGTACAATTTATGACCGAAAATAGTCTACTCCCGAATAACGGCCTAAAGGACGTGTTGATAAGACTTGCATGCAACATGTTACGAATGATTGAGCCGTGAATTGACATACATTGACCACAACATAATAATAACTTGTTCGTCATTTCGGTGTGACCCAATTCATTTTACCGACACATAAAAAAATTAAACAAAAACGGCGAATGATATAAAGCAAAGAACCCAAAATGAATAGAAATTGCTGATAAACGTTATTCGAGCAGAAAAAACTTACTCCCAGTGAGACGGCCACACGGCTGACCCAGTCCGAGTGACGTACAAGAAAGAATCCACCTCCAGTGACTGGATTATTAACCCGGACTGGTGACTTAAACGAGTCACACAAGTGTATAACTCGTTGGGTGAGCACAGATGAGCTATGTTCCTCTGGAACTGAGACAGCTGGACTGGTACAGGGATCAGGTGCGGTTGTGGTTGTCTCCAGTTGGATGCCACTTTCGTAGATACCACAGTTGTTCTTAGGTTGCATATGGGGTTGTGGGCGCAACGCAACCAGGGTAAAGGCACACATGGTCAAAAGGAGTCTTAATAACCGTACAAGCCACAAGCGAATCAGGTCTACGATGGTTTGATACACGACGTCACTCCCAGTTGTTGAGCGCTCCTTGTCCCGAGGACGAGGACTGAGCAATGGACAGGACATTATTAGTGAAAGACCGCCCGCACGAAGGAAATGAACCTGAAAGCAATTAAAAACATGAACCAATTTGTACGCAAAGCATTGTGAAAGTGAACGGAGTGAAATGATGCACGCAATAGTGGTGTAAAAAAGTTGAAAAAACGACAAACAAAATAGCCAGAGGATGTAAAGCGCGACCGATATTACGTTTCACTTTCAGCATCATCTAAGATCATTGGCATATATTATATTATAATTCACACACGACTGACACCAGACTGTGCGCCCAACAAATCACGGAACAATAATCTTCATAAAAAGAAACACGTTCCATGATTTACATGTGGACCGAATACTGCCAGGTGCCTCAGGCCAAGGAGGGTGAATTTTCTTGACGAATTCACGGCCGGAGCCTTTGGCTAACCAAAGCGTAACCCACGAGGCAGCGGGCCGGTATGTGAAAACCGCAATCCATTGGAGGCCGCTGTCCAGTTACTCGGATCGTACACCCTTTGGATAGGGTCAAACGTCCAAGGTGCTCAATACATCTTAATGCCCAATCCAGCAACCGATGCCATAAACGAGGGGTGCATCGGTGCGATTCATCGCCTGTTCTTAGTTGGTTTGGAATTAAGGTTTTTGACCAACTCCCCTAGGTGAACTACCTGTGGATTTCACAGGAGGATCCGTCACCTACCTTGAAACTAGGCGAAATGACCGAATCAAATCTCTCCGTTTAGCATCATTGCCTGTCTCGTATTGAGTTTCGTGAACTCTAGGAGCAAGCCTAATTCGGGTAACTTTTAATTCGGATGAGGAACCGATATCAACTGGCAGTAGTTGACTAGTTAAAGCAGCTGTAGGGAGGTTTCGTGTAAACGAGGGCCAGCCAAACAATGCCTTAAACTGTTCTGCTCAACGTTCAAGGCGGTGTTGCTGAATATGAATCAGTGTGCCGTCGGAGTCCTTAATTACTTCACACCTACCTTCATTGGGCCTGTACTAATACCTAAAGGAAAAAGATTGTGACTATCAACGATTGCCGCGGCCTTCTCTATCTCTCTCCACTTTTTGCGGTCATTCCTCAGGCTTTTGATGAGCTGGTACCTAAGGGAAATGCGCACTTTGTCGTATTTGGCATCAGAAGGAATGATTCTGCGAGCATCCACCAGGGCAGCCGAGTACGATATCCATTGTTTTTGCTCTGATCATGCGCCAGAATCCGCCCGTTGTTTTGATTGACATTTGGATAGCTTCCTTGATTACCGTCCGGTGTTCACTGAGTCCTTCGGCTGATGGCTGAACGATCTGAAAAGCGATTAGAGTTTCACTTTCCAATTCTGGCTAACGCAGTATTGTGGACACCGATTTCCGGTGACTTTTCTTTTTGTTTGCCAGACATGGGAAGAATCTGGCTCTTAGTAGAGCATGGTGCGTGTCCACGAGTGTTAACTAATGACAAGAACAATCTTAAATGGATCCTCAGTCGTAGGTGATGGCGATGTCATTGATTCTATTGAACGATAAACAATAACCTCGATGTAAATTGAGAGGCAGCGAAATCGTCCAAGACATACTTCGAGCAATGTTGCTATACTGACTTCTCTTTTCAAATTTATCACGGGAAAAGATTGTTTCAACCTCAATGGAGTTAGGTGAGTGGTTCTAATGTCATCAAAACAACGGGTTCCGCTTTTCGTATGTTATGTTCATTGTCTATATGGTTTTGACTACATCCACTGTGTTTATCTCTGAACTCTAAAGAGTTAGCTTCGTCGGTATTATTTTCATTTAGATGGTCAGTGGTATTCCTATTGTAACTCAACTGTCTGCTCCGAAACAAAGATGTAAACACAGAAAAGGTTCTCAACATACATGCAAACTGTAGTAGTCTGATCTCCGTAAGCACGAGGAAATGGCGTTAAGCCTTTTGCTTACCGTCAATTGGCTTGCATTGTACCATAGGGGTAGCTTGTGAAACACGCTCTGTTGCGACAGTGTTCGGGAATCATTCGAGACTAAGGCGAACATGTCATGACATTGCGTGATCGCAGCCGTCGGCAGGCACAAAGAGTATAACACCTGTAGGGCATAATAGAGCTCCATGAGACGACTCATATCTTCCGTGGTCGGCGGTTGATCGTTGTCTATGTGTTTAGCGGATAAAAGGTCTTCCAGATACGTTTCCTGGAGGGCTGTATGATTATGGAAAGCAAAGAAGATAAAGATAAAAAACACGGATGAACCGATGAATCATTACCATAGCTGAGTGAAGGTAAGTTCAACAACACAGATAATACGGATAGGGGAAAAGAAAGTACTAAGAAAACATGGATGAGAGCATTATGAAATTGCTAGGTAAAAGAGCGCGATCAAGTCAGTTTAACCAGTTACAACAACAACAACCAAACCATCGATGCTTTATTACACTGAAACTAATAAACATGTTATCGTCCCTTAATCTGTACTTACAGACGTCCTCAAAGATAGAGGATAGCTGAACAGGACAGTTTATCATTATACATTTTCCATTACGGCGGACTTTGTGTGAATAGTCCAGAAACTGCTTAATTACCCATAGGTAAACCGGTCTATGCGAAGCTACAAAAAGGGGCAGATTTCACTGTGAAAACAAAAGAGAACATGCGTCAAGTGATCGCATTCCAACACTCTTCGGGAATAGCATGAGAGGGATCACTGATGACAGAAAACCATTGTTTACATGAGAATTTATCTGGCTGTGTGTGAAGTTCGGTTTACTACGATTTTTCGATGGGTTCTCATAAAACGAGAGAGTGATCAGGTGAGGTGATAATATTCTCAGTAAACATGCCTTGAAGGTATTTCCCCGGGACAAGTCCCTCATTCCTGGTAAATTAAAACCGGGGGGTCATCAATGAAGAAGGAACTCCATGATCACATCAAGAAGGACTCTTTGCATCAAACATCCAAAATCAAAGAACCAAATTTGCATTGCAAAACAGACTGAGTAGAGCATCAACAAATCAAGCATAAAAACGAGGACCCAACACTACTCACGTGACTTGGTCAGTTGAGCACCAACTTCGTCGGTTGTCAGTTTCCTGATACGGGGCACCGCGGCAAGAGCAGCGGTGGCAATTTCTGATTGTAGTCTTTCAATCAGAGACTCCGGAGCAGGAAGACAGAGGAGAACATCAAGCACACTAGAGAACAACTGATCACTATTCAATTCCATGGCAACCTTGGCCAGTTGAAGTAGAAATTGGGAACGCTGTGCGGACGAATCTAGATATATTTCGAAAGAGGAGGAAAAAACAAGGGAACAAGCAACCAAGTAGGGTTAGTGACTACACGTTAAAGAAAAGATGTCTATTTGACGATTATTGTACGTGAGTGTGATAAGAAACGACACTGTTATAATGTTATAAAAGTATAAACAAGCTTTCCAGCGACTGTGTGAGAAAAACACAATTGCAGTGCGTGCACAAGTATGTTATATCAGATGGTTTTGACAGTCTATGCATCAAATTCCTCAAGTTTTTGAGATGAAAAGTCAATATCAATCATGGAATTCATGCGGTTTCACACGTAAATCCAAGAATGTCAACAACATTCGGATTTATAGTAAACTATATCGGGAACGCAAAACTCGTTTCCAAAAACGATACCGACTGAACCAGTAGACAACTTTATCATTTGCTCATCATAAACTGAGAAACTGGAGGGATGCATTCGAACTTCTCGTGGATGAAAACTGTGATTTCCACTTCGTACCTTCATGTTACTCGGCTTATCGTTCCACATTATAAGTCTAATTCTAGGGGTTCGGGTGCGTATAAGCTATTGATATTTCTTTATCAAAAATAAAATAGTTCTTCAAACGCTATCTGATGATCGAGCATGAAATCTGTGCACGAATAATGTTTCCCATGTTTGATAAACGAAAGAAGTCGTTTAATCCAGCAAAGTATGCAACATGATTGTCATCAACCTGTTACCATAGTGGCACTAGCCTATTCAGTTCGGTGGTGCAAAAATACGGGATTCGAGAGGATTCATTCAAAGCATTGTCGGAATTTAATTCTTTTCCAATAAAAAAGCTATCCGATTTAAAAAAGATGTCGAGGGGGGGGGTGACGGAGGAGGATGGGGTAATCCGCACTATAAATCCTGTTGATTTGCCACTAAAGTTTGTAAGGTGTTATAGAACAGGTTAAGAGAAGGCAGATTGACCAGCTTAGACTGTTGTTCTGTAATTATTTCTATCATACTGGAAGATAAAAATGTACGCTAATTACGAACGTTAAAATTGGTCCGTACACGCTTTTAGCTGGAAGGAACTAGAGAGGGAATTTCATTTTGTCCTTACCTACCTGCGATTCTGACCGATTCTATGAGAGATTCATGTGCGCGGAATTAAAACAATAGACTGAAGATGTACAAGGGAGCACTTATACTGTGCCGACGTAAAGGATTTTGTACTATTATTGCAGTCGCTGTATATACATCTAATCTAGTTTGCATACATTCGTGAATATTATTTTTATGACAACTTAATTTTTCAATTTTATATTTCATACACGTCTGACGCCAGACTGTGTGCCAAACAATTCATGGTACAATAATCTTTATAAAAAAGAAAAATGTTCCATGATTTGCGTGTGGGCTGAATACTGCCAGGTTGCCCAGGCCCAGGCAGGTTACGTTTTGTATAATTTTAGAATGACAAATGGACAATAAATGGTCGTCGGGATTATAGTTCGTAATTGCCGGAAGTTAAATTGTGATTGAAAAACAACTCAAGATAAGAAAATCATTATAAACAAATCAATCTAGTATCTGCTATTGGCCACAATTCCCTCGGAAAATTTCAGTGTCCCTGTAAAACAGCGGCGACTTTTAATACTACCAACATTATTTGTTGTGTAAATTTTCAAGAATACTAACTGAATTCAAAACTGTCGGAAGAGGCCGGTCTAGAAGGACCGTCCCTGTCTGTCCGGTTCTGATTAGGAGAATTGTCTGTGACTGAAATACTGGCCAAATTGTTCACTATACCAGTAGCGCCGGCAGGGACATCGGAAGTAGAGAATTGGGGAACCTGATCAGACGTGGTTGGTACAACCTCCGGGTTTGTCAAATCTGGTACATGAGAGTTCTGGGTTTCACTGCCGGTTGGTGGTTGTGTGGGGCGTGGCATTTGTTGTTCATGGTATTGTTGCTGTAGTATTGTATGATCCGTCGGTTCCTTGCGCAAACAACTTCTCAGTCCATCCACATAAAAGTCGTACGACAACTGAGGAGCTACAAGGACCACGTTGGCGACTAGCGATAATCTGAATGTAGAGAAACGATGAAGAAGACAAGCAGGGAGAGTGAGCAATGGCTCATTAAAAAAACGGACAACATCGGCAAGAATATACAGTGGCAGGTAGTCAAAGTGGATGCATTCAACAATGCTGCGTTATTTTTCTGCTCTGATTCCACACTAAATACCATTCACTTGGGAGGAAGAAGAAGCAGAGCAAGCTTTGTCACTTGGCAAAATTTTGTCTTAAGAAAAGCTTGTTTGGCATTTATCAACAGGAAATATCAAGGGTTTCGCCATGATTACTGTCCGGATTGCAGAAGCTAGTTTAGTCCGTCCCACAGGATGGGTCATAGACAACTATTAAAATAACAAATGTTCGAATACCAATATAAACATACGGTAGCGTGTATAGTAAAAAATACACAGCCCAATCTTTAAGGAAGCTCTGTTTTACTTCAATCACATTTAATGGCGAAGGCAGTCGGTTTACAAAAAACTGATAGGCAAATCCGAATGAGGAATTTCATCTTCGCCTGGGGCATCCCTACTCACGGACCCACGGAGACAATTACTTCCCTTTCTGGTGGCTCGCAGATGACTGCACGGTTTATAGTTTCCTGCTAGCACAGTGTGATCGGGTTTCTTAGTCATGCGACTCGGTCGCGCGTTAATGTTCAACTTCCGTATTTGTGTCGCACAGAGTGTTATCCATAGGATCTTTTGTCAGAAGTAACAGAAGAATCTTTCGAGGTTTCGGATGATGACTGGTCTTTATTTCGTCTGACGAACAAAGGGCTACCATGAAACACAGTGCCGAAAGTCAGGCGGTGGTGGTGGGATTCAAATACACATCCATCAGGGTAATCATTTTGTGACCTTTACCATCGGGCTATCAATACATTTAACCGTTTGTTTCAACAGGGACAGGAGGTTCACGTCGGACGATGTAAACCTCGGGTAGTTTGAGTTACTCAACAGCTGAATCACTTCTTCGGAGACCCCGTATTCACGTAATCATGTCAATTTCCGATGGTGTTCCAATTCGGATTCTTTAATGCATGCTCTAGTCGTCGTCCACTGCATGCCACTGATTTGTTGGCTTGTATATCCATGGTAAGCTTGTTAGGTACGGTGTTTGCTAGAATGTGGTCTTTTCGGAGTGTCAGGAATGGCTGTATCGATGATAGTTAGGAAGCAAATATTTTTGCCAAAGTTTTCAAACGGAATTTGAGGCAAGCTTATACAAGGATATAATCGGTGGCATTTTTACTTTGTATTTGCGCAGCGACGGTCCTGAGAGTTTTCGATAATAAAAGACCAGAGGACTTGAAACAGAATTTAGTTCATATGATGAGCTTCTCTTACCTTTTGGATATCACTTTCTCAAGTTCCTTTTAGATACAACCAACCAATTAAAGTCAGAAAACGCGACTATATAATCATAATTACAATTACCGCTTTGATGGTCAAGCTAAGCCATCCTAGGATATGACGACCGATTAATTCTTTCACTTTGTGCTTCGGAATTCGGTTGAAGTTCATTTGTTTCGTCACTATTAGTCAGTGAGTAATGAGAACTAACAAGAGGTTTTGTAGGGCTTATACAAGCACACAGCCGCCCAGCGGCCCGATACGGGCAATTCAATTATCTGTAGTGAGAAAGATTTCACACCCAGGGGTGCGATTAACACCAGTTTGTAGAAAGTAGTTAATTTCTCCTTTGTTTGCAGAGTCAGTTGACAACATTGGAGGCAATACAACTAACAAGGTCAAGTTTATTGAATTGCCTTTTACGTGTGAAATCATGATATTAGGAAACGTGGGTTCCGGGGGAACCACTCGCTGTCAGCGCGACGATCGATAGCTAGAGGAATTCCATGTAACCCGGAGTTTTCACTGCAGCGTTCGTTATGAGAACGATAATTCCACTTATACCGGAGTCACGGAATCCCACCCCTAACAAGCCTGCTTTCACTACACTCCAGTTGTACACCTTTTCGTTTAATTTGCGACCCGAAACACATAAAGTCTCCAAGGGAAAAGAAAGGATCAGTGGCAGTCATTCCGTTTCTATCTCTTCCCAAACCTCGCAACGTTGCTAATAACAGAAGCATTTAGTTCCATTTAGTAATTATACTCGCACAATTATCAGTGCCGTATGTAACCTAATACCAATTAGTCAGGTTGTGAATGTTTCCAACGGAGTCATAACCTCGAAGGCTAGTGCTGAGATGAGCAGGATTTGTGACCCACAACAAGCTCGCAAAGATGGGTTGTGCTATATCGTGTAAATGGAAAATGAAAAACGGTCTGATTAGCTGCCCAGTGGCGGAGTGGGTATCGTGCTTGTGATCTGTCCATGTAGTTCCGGGTTCGATCCCCAATTGGGTCGATGGATTCGCACTGATGATAAGACCCAACCAGATCGAAACAGCTGTCCAGAGCCACTAGCTTTTCAGTTCACGCTTCATTTGCTATATACACGACGAATTCCCATCTGAAATAATACCAAATATCCTACGGCTGGCAATAAAGATTCGAACAGAACAGAATGGATATACAAGAGCGAGCTATGGGAGGAAAATTCAAGAATTCCAATCGAATTGCGTATCAATGATTCACTTCTGGTAAATATACGCTTGAGCAAATTGTCTTTTGAAAACCAAGTGACCTTGCTATTATGAAAGTATTCGGGATAAAGATACAGGATATGAGAACAAAAAAGTAGCAGATGATTTGACTATCAGCAATCAAAAATACTACGAGTGATGTCCTATGCATCCAGCTATTACAGAACGATGGCTCACCGTGGAGGAATTTCTTCGTGATTCAAGACCCGATCGAGACTTGGCTCTTTGAGAAATATACCTGGCCACTCGTGAAAAAAAGTCAATAAACAAAGCACAGGCATCTCATCCGCCGCAGGGTCAATCAGCACACCACCTAAAGGGAATCCGGTGGTAGTCGCGGAGGGATTAGTTGGTTCTCGTGCCGGATTAGCGTATAATTCTAATTTATAGTTTTGTGATCCAAGGTCTGTGGCTCTGGAATCAATTGACTCGAGTGGAACATTTGGATGATACAGATCGGTCGTTGGGATCATGGACTGGGATGACGGAGGTGGATTCGCACGACCGCACAATGACGGCAGTCGTAGAGCCAAGAGTTGTGCGCGAAGCTCACCGATCGTCATATTGGCGTGAGCCGGGAATAGAATGGTGTCAGACATGGACGAGGATGGATCAACATGTGACCGGGATTGCGCGGGTGGGTCAATGTGTGTGTTTGGACTGCGAGTTTCATTCATAGGGGAATAATAGGTAACCGAGAAGAAAAACGAAGATCCTACCCAAGCACTGTAAAACAAGAGAGAAGACACATCATTATTGACAGACACAAAAGAATAAAGTGAATGAACAGCAACTTAGGTATAGAGAGGATAGAATAATAGGAAAATATACAAGGACCGGAAGCGAAACAAACTAACATAGATAGATTAAACCTTTTTAAAAAATTAACGTTGCAATGAGATAAAAAAAAATGAAATTTCGGAGGAAAGCCTAAGTGATCCGAAAACGTTCAGAAACAAAGAGATGCTTCAAAACAGCAGTGTGATCTAAAACAATTGATGGCCTACCAGCTATTTGGAATGTATGAAGGGCGCTTCAAGGGCAATTACCAGGTTGACAAGAATTGTAGTTCTATTAATACGCATTGCCAATCAGCAAAATGATGGGATTTTGACGATTTCCAAATATTACGGTGAGCTTCCACACAAATAAGGCCACTTCACAGGCACTGATGATGTCACCTCGCCTGGTGATGAAAGGTTTGCAAACAAATTGCCCAGCTCGGCGAACAGGCGAAATAGAAATAAGGTAATCTTATGGTTCTCGTCTGCAGCCTTCATTCCATTAGATTTCGCGTAGCAAATTTTAGTGCTTTTTCAAAAATTCGAAAATTTAAAGGTAGCTTGTTGATCAATCGGATAGTGTGCAGACATTAAATTAAGCTAGGTGAAACGGAGGTCTTGGCTCTATCAGTGCCATTGATTGATTGACTTAATTGATTTAGGACTGAGAGATATACCATGGTTGTCTTAAACCGGTGGCATCAAGCATTATTTGGGAATGACAGGACAAACTAGACAAACGAAAGAGAAAGGGTTTTCCAAATGGGTCCCTAAGACTTTAGGGCACCGCAAACTTCACGGTAGCTCATACGGACGAAGGGTTTTTCTTTGGACGTCCTGACCGGAGCGTTTGACTCAAGAATCTGGCCAACAAGACAGTGGAGCGTAGATCCAAAGAGGGCAGAGACCGAAACACACCTGTGGGAACCTCTGGAGATCCAGGTGGATTGCAAGCTTTTCTGGAGAGTTTGAGTGCTAGGGTAGCCGTGTTCGATATGCGTTTTGCACCTTCAAATTGTAAAATGTTACTAAAAGACTGGGTTGGTCCAACCCGCAAACTCACCATGACTGGGGAAACAGTAGATGAAAGAGAATAGCTTTGCTGTATAGGCAGCTATATCTCACCTAGCGGACGCATCACAGAAGTGCTCGCGCATACAGATGGCTTGTTTGGTATTTGCCAACTTGAGACATGTGTGGCGCAGTCGCAACATCCGCCTGTCTGTGAAGGATCGAGTAGGTGTTGCAGCAGTTAGGCCTATGCTGCTCTACAGTACAGCGACTGTTCCACTGCGGGAACAAGATAAAGATAAATTTTCAGTGTTCAAACTCCGCTGCTTTCGCAGCATTGCGCGAGTCTGGTGGAGTAACCGGACGAGCAATACTGAGGTTAAGCGTAGAGTTTTAGGTAACCGCGGTCGCCCAATGGAGCAAGTGATAGACCTCCATAGATTACGCTGGTTGGGGCATTTGTTACGCATGTCACCAAATAGGTTACCACGGCGAGCGATGCTTGTCGAAGCAGGTGGCGGGTGGAAAAATTTCGAGGGTGATCAACCTAAGACCTGGCACGAAGATATGAAATCCCTAACCAGGGGACTGAGTCACGTAGGTCCTGTTAGGCTCCGTGGCTGGGGACCCCAAGATGATGGTCACCGATGGTTAGAGACACTGAGCGATATGGCTGGCGTTCATACATCTACTGATCATTCTCTTTACACCGGTCTGTATGAATTCTCCACTTGAATTTACTTTCAACATTCCAATCTTCATCCTGTTGTTTTATCCAAACGGGCAGCCAAAAGACAGCAACCAAAACCGGCCCACGAAAGTGTATGTTTAATGCTTGTAGAAACTGAAACCAAAACCTCTGGCGAGCTGTAACGCAAGGCCTTTGGGTGTCGGTTCGGGGTCAGCCATTAGTCTCATGTACCAAATGAGACAGGCGAAACGTGGATGAAGTAGCATCTTATTGTCTGAGGGCTGCCCAACTTGTGAGGGTGGTAACTGGTCAATGAAGTGCGAAGAATTCTCCCACCGCACGTAAAAATCTCCAGGTACGCCGTACCTACATCCATTTGGCGGTTTTTTGGCCGGTAAACCACTTCTCCTCCTGTTTATTTTCAGAAGCGATCTTTACAAGGGAAAGTGGGTAGATGAAAGAAGCCACGAGGTGCCTGAACAGTTGACCCTGTGAGGCCGAGTTGTCTGGCTCCTAACGATTGACCCTTCAGGTATGACTGAACCTGCGGCTGAGGGGTCAACTATGTATAGCTCGCAGGGTCATGGAGGCACACAAGCCATTACACCACGTCAAAGTGCAGTATGGTCGTGATGACAAGTGATTCCGTATATGCAAACGAAAGGCACTCGATATGTGGGGAATTTCTTAACTTCCAGGAATGAACCCACATTAGAGAGCACAAAGATTATATAGTTGAGCCAAACCTAATTTAAAAAATTGATATAACCATTCGCTCAAGGTGCTAATTGATGATGTTAGGGGGTTAGCTTCCCGTCCCCAGAGGCCGCGGTTCCCGTCTAGGAAGAGACACAAGAAGTATACACACCTAAAGACTCCTATCACGCACTATTTATCAGTCATCACAGAGCATTCTACAAGGGATGAAAAACAGTTCTAATGCTGTTTTTAACTACCCATTTTTATCTGGTTGACATACATTGTAAGGTCAACTTTCAGGAAGGGGCAAACGGTTAAAGACTGAGTGGGAAAATACAATGAAAGAAAATGCGAGAGGTGGTGGTGGGATTCAAATTTCGGGTCGCAATCATGATAGATAGCCTTAGCCACTTGATCACCACCGAGATGTTCCATGACTGGGCTCTAACTATACTCTTTCAATCCACTTGACATATTCGTTTTTATTTTGTTTTATGAGTTTGACATCGATCACGTAAGACCGCTCCGGTTCACTTTACTGTGTAATGATGACAAAGCGTACGAATGAAGTGAAGTTTTTTTGCGTAAATTGATAAATCGGTTATTTACCTGTGACGATGAAGAGTATGTGCCACCTAATTAGAGATAATGCAAACAAAGCACAAAACTAAGGTTTTAATATCGAACCTAGAGTTTGGGGCAAAGAAAGGATGCGACTCAATCTAATTGTATTAAATTCAAGAACCGCCTTTACTCATCCCAAGGGATCGAAGATTTTAGCACCAGCACAACTGGCATTTTCATAATTGAAAACGTGTGCGGACCATTCGGGTATGAATTATTCAAAATCAAATAGAAAGGCATGATTGAATACAGCAGTGCTTGTTCGGAATAAACAGTAAAGATTAAATACTTAAATTTACACAACCTAAATGTCATTTTCATCCAAATTGGAAAGGATTTTACTTAAAAAATGTCTACCATGGTCATCGTTGAGGCTTATCTAATCTCTTCTCTTGGAAAAATCTTCTCATCTTTCGACTTGTACGTGCCATGAACACGCTTACCGTTTCAGGGGAATGCGTTGAAATTNNCAATAAAGTATTGAACAAGTTGAATGACTCGGACGACTCGGTCTACCGTGCGCGTGACGTCCGATGTGATCTGACTCGATGAAACTTGACCTTCCTGTGAGTTTTCTTTCGTGGGTGTATGCAGCAAACAACGGATCTATAACCGTGCAACAAAAAAACAATAGTTAACTTGCAGAAAGGAGGCTTCCGTAAATAAATGTGCAGTTTTACTAACATCAAGAACTAGGACACAAACTCACCGTATCGTAGTCACATTTTAGTCGAGAGAAACACGTTTGAAGTAAGTCCTCAATGATTTCTTTCCGACGCGGAACGAGTCGTGGACTGAAGTTACTGTACAGTTGCTGAAGTAATTCCATGGCTTGCGCAGCCACTGAGGTAGGAGAGTCCAACAGCATCCGCCAAATGTGTTCAATCCCATGCAACTGGGCATCATCCATGAGATATTTGAACTGTGAACCAGACCCAATCACGACTAGTTCAGCCGGTATAATCCCATTACTCAGATTAATTTGAAAGAAAAAGTTCTGGAAAAGTCTAGAATTATGAAAAAGCAGACAGGAATGCATTTGATTTCTCAGTAAAGTCGAAAGACAAAAAACTTATTGAAGAAGTAAAGACAGAGTTTCCCAGCGTCACATCGCAAAAAACATCGAGACACAATGAAGTGAACTTTACCGATGGCTGCCAAATGAAAGGTGATGCAGTACAAATAGTCAAGCCCATGGGTGTGAATTTGTGAATTACTGAACAAATTAATTTTGATTGCACACATCTGTGTGACAAACAACAGACGGGTGGACCCCGTCGTCGCGAAGACCTGCTGTTCAGTGAATGAAAACGGCGAACTAAATCCCGGGAGTGGCGAACCGCATAAGGGAACGCTAGTCCAGGCGTGGTATTCAAACAGGTGACAGTAAATCTGCCTACTACCAAAGTTGGGTGGTGGTGGTGGGGTTCTAAAAACGGACCATAGGGTTTAAAGCACGCTGGTGAAAGCGGATAAACCAATGCACCACCACCACCACCAGTTGGGCAACAAACCGGAAACGCCGATCGTGTTTGTTGTTTAGAAAACGATCGAATCGAAGTGCAATTTTCCTATAAGTAAGAGAGTGAGCATTACCTGTTCCATTGTTTCCAAGTATAGTTGGAAATACTACATAACCTAAATCCGAAAGGATCAGCACATCCATGCCATCGTGTTTTGAGTTTGAAAATAATATCAACTGGGGTTCAGATGATTTTTTTAAAGTAACAAGAACGGCTTCCATTCTAAGAGACGTGAATGAAAAAGACCAAGCTCAAAGTTGGATTAATAGGGGAAAGCCCATTTCTCCCATAGAAGTGACTATTTTCCTTTCTTTTAACCTATTTTCCACTTTTTATGAAATTTGAATTTTCATTTTTTGGCGCCGGAAAAGCTTCACTCTATGCTATCGACCTTACTTGCCCCGGATTGATCTATTTTCCCAGAACTCTGTATTTAGGCTAATTATCAAGATTAGTGCTGGACGTCCGCGAAACTCCAGATAAACAGGTGAGGTATCCGCAACCACCGTCTTTTGAGTTGAGCCGAATACGCCACCTCGTCTGAAGGCCTATCCTCCGTATTCTTTCTGGCTGGGTTCCGGGATCGTATTACTCTCGCGGGACGTTTTCCCCGTCTTCTTGGAAGTTGCGCTGGGTACCTCAATTTGTACATAATCATGTTGTTCTAACTCGGTCGTTGAGTCGTTCCAGTTTCTGTTAGTGGTCAGTCCAATTACACCCCTTGACTAGCACCCCAAGGCTGGACCAGTCTTGTCGCTATTCGTGCGTTACAATATGGATTCTTGTTTAGACGGATCGAATACAGTAACACTTCTTCATGTAGCTGAAAATAGATAGGTGGTAGATAGTTTCGCTGACGCCTTATGTCGTTCGCCGCATCAAGCCCCATGGTTAGGGCTACCTGTCTCGTAAAAAATAACTCACGGGGTGTTGCACACTACGCAGTTTCACACGCAAACTCAGACTGATTTCACCAAAATCTGTCTTAAATGTAATTGGTGTTGCGCACCACTATGTCATCCTTATTTTTTTAGGTACCAAAAAAGTAAGATCCTTCACAAGATGTTACATATCTGATGATAACTTAGAAAGTCGGTGATACTGTCCGCCAAAATGAAAATTTAGAAAATCAGTTCTCCTTTCACTCAGAAATATTTCAAGTAATCACGCCAAATAGGTTGAAACAAACGTTGAAGTAATCACATACATTTCTTTACTATCAATATGGGGCCAAACAAAACACATCATCGGATGGTTGTTACAAACAAGATGATTCTCACAAATGCGGCAGATAAGCATAAAGATGGAGGGTGTCGATCAGAAAACACCGTTGCACCGTGTGATGTAAATAGGAGTTGGAGTGCGGTAAAGCATGAACGAAACGTATTCCATTCAATTTTCAATGCATCAACCCCACGGTCTCCACATGTAGTGACAGAAGTGTATAAAATCGTTCACAAATCGGACAACAAAGACCATATATACGACGACTACAAGTTGATGATCTGTAATGAAGCTGCGGCAGAATAGTATCCGATTCCGCCCAATAAAGGTTAGTATGTTAAACTGACTTGTCGGGGTCCATACTTTGTTAACCTTTAGCCCTGAGAACACCACTTTTTACCTTCGCTAGTTCTACCAAAACAGTAAAATTCAATAACACTTGTTTGCCAGTCGTAAAAGCTTATTTCCAAGTAGAAGTAGAAGTGGTTTACCACCAACTGCGTTGCAAATTTTGCAGCCTTGTCAACCTTCAATAAGAGGGCACTGATGCAAGTGGGTCAAATTTGTGGCCCGTACAATGAACTTTTCAGGGATCGATGTCTGATGCGTATTGGACAAGCGAATTCAGGATGGTATTATTTTAGGCCACTTGAGCATTCGAGATACTTCCTCCGCGTGGAGTGGCCATTGTAGATTGAAGGTGATACTAATCAATTGGATCCCTGTAAGCAGTCACGTCTGTGCAATGCGGCTCCAGGAGTTAAAGCAGGTGAAGTTTCTTAGGGAGCACACAACTGAAGCATTTGACTAACCAAACTCTGACCCGCAAAACAGCCGGGTGGTGTGCGAAAACCGCAGTTCATTGGGGACCGGTGTCCAGTTCATTAGGTCATACGCCCTTTGGATTGGGTCAAACGTGAAAGGTGCCCTCGATGTCCAGTTGAGTTGGTAACCACTGCCACAACCAAGAGGGTGCGTGGCTTTTATGCCTCCTCTTTTTTGGTATGGAATCAGTGTTTTTAGAAAACTACCCATCCAGTGGTTCACCAACCCGGTTGTAGCCCCGCAGGAAAGCTATGCGATTTAGAGTACACTGACGAAATCCGTTGCACCTTGATAAATATCAAAATGCAAGACTTCTGCAGACAGTATAAAATGCCTTGGGTATAGACTGGCGAATTCGGGATGAAACCCTGTTCGTGGAAAAGTACTCCCAATATTGTATGCGGCAGCTTCGAACTGTGTATAAGAATTACAGTTATTCTTTGGTATGTTGACCCGTCGTGGTCGTTTCATTCCATCACAAACATTGTTACTAAAAGACAGCGAGTGAAAATGGACACAAGAAGAGCGGACAGCATTCAAAGTTATTGAAGGCATTAGAGGACTCCAAAGTGTTACATCATTTTCCTCGCCGAAAACATCTCTGTCCACCATGACGCACCCACATGGGGAGTTGGTGTTGTTCTGTAATATAAAAAGTAGGATGACTTTTTGGCCTTGCCCGAAAGATTCCGTATGGTCAGGGGTGGGTGTCTAAGGTTGCGGCTGATCACCCTTTCATTGCACCTCCTGAAGTGCTATCATACGACCAAGCGTTTCAAATAACCTCTGCTGAGGAAACCCTACTTACGGCCTTCTCGTGGCGGAAGTGTTTTCCCACCAAAGTGAGGGGACGAAAAAGTCGAACACCCGTGTCGGTGAACCAGTAGGAGAGTTGATTAAAAACCCTGATTCCAAACCAACCCGGATGTGTACGAACCACGCACACACCTTCCTGGTCATAGTAGTGGTCACCGGTTCGATTGGGTATCCAGGTGTATTTTGCACCTTCGACATTTGACCCAGTCGCAAGGGCGTATGATCCGATGAACTGGAAAGACAGATTGCGGTTTTCGTACACCACTCTGCTGTCTTGGGGGTGCGGTCTGAAGGACTTGGTTGTGAACTTCCTAAGAAAATTACCTGCTCCGGCCTCCGCAAACTAGCAGTATCACGTGCTCGACCAAACATGAACTTTTTTTTATAAAGATGATTATAACCTGATTTGTTTCGCACACAGTCTGAACTCAGACGTGTGTCAGAAATATGAAGTATGTCTGAGGAAAATGATTAACTGCAAAGAGGAACACAGCTCAGTTCGATCGGCAAGTGTCAACTACCGCTTTCAGTGTGAAAAAAATACCGATACCGGTGGGGTAGTATTTTAAGACCACAGAATAGGCACAAGCAACTAAGGAAAGTAACCACCAAAACTAATTACCCCGAATGAGACCGAAGGTCTTGGATTCGAACCCACGCATGGACGCCGCCTACGCTTTGTACGCGTATGCTCTACCAGCTGAGCTACGAGGCCATACCGATAGCACTGAATCCCGCCGAGGCTACTGAACTTTTCACAATCGACATACAAACTTCAAATCTGCCAAACAACTATTTGAATATATATATATATATAATATACAGAGAGAGAGAGTCAAATCAAAGTAAGCTTTATGCACCCGGAGGGTGAATTTTCAGCAATTTTTCAGGGCAATATAGTGGAATTGAGGAGGATGGCATAGAAGTGTGAATAGGTTGATTGAAAAATGACAGCATGCAGTAAGACGACAGTGACAGATAAAAATGAACACAAACTAACTCATGAGGTGTTAAACCAAACCTGTAATAATTGGTGTCCGATTTATTAGAAAGCGAGCAAGAAAAAGGGTGGATGCTGTTTCTGTATGTGACGGTGCGTGCGGGAAGGAGTCGTGATTTATATTAAAAAAACTGTCAATAAATGATAAAAAGGCTTGTTGGGGTGCGGAGTTACCAAGTTTTAACCCCTCATTTCGAATATGGATTTTTGAGATACCCCAAGCCAATCACAAAATTATGTTACTTTTAACTTTTTGATCATCGAATAAGATATTGAAAAGGAACATCAACCAGCGGAAAATACACAGAAAGTTGAAATGTAATCTATCCCAGGAGAAAAACTCACTTCATCCCGGAAGAAGTCAGATTAACAGGATCAACTTTGACGATATTTTGGTCGAAGAAGGTGCGAAAATCGTCCGGGTTGATCGCTTTTGAGGGTAATTGACTAAACCAATTGAAACACATTTCACGATCCTCGACAGAAACCAATGCAGCCTGCGGCGGGCTGACTGTTCCCTCTTCCGCATCCTCTGGAATCAACCCAAGCATTCCGTTCCACAAATGTTGCATCAATTGTAGTGTCATGCATATTGAGCCCTCGATCAATAGATAACGCAACAAGCGGAGCAGCCAGTTCACTTGGACAGGCAATGTTGCTTGGGGTGCAGGGTCTGGAAGCAGATTGTACAGGCGAAACATCATGGTGAAAAACATGCGTGAATCAGAACNAGTTGAGCGACTGGGTTCTGACGATTTAGTGCAGATACAACTGGGATTGGACATCCCGTTCAAGATTTCACTTTGGCATGAAGTTGAAAATAACTGTAGAATAACCATCCTTAAAAAGATCAAGAGTTCACTGTATATTACACACACACACACACACACACACACACAGACAACAACAACAACTGGTAGTTTTTGGTATCACAAGTCCTGAGTTATACATCAATTATAAATTATCCTTTCCAATGAAGGAGGCAGTGAGCAACATTTGGAAAAGGTGGATTTCAACGAAGGCATACAAGACAAAACAACCGAGTGAAAATCTCCCAAGAAAATAAAAACAGTAACACTACTACTAAGGGTGTGTGAAATTATCGTCGCGAAGGTAATTTAAAAAATCTTCGGGATTACAAAATATAAGTCAGATATACAATTTAGTCAGTCTGGTTCATTCAACTTAAGATTCAGAAGTCTACACTTCCCACACCGATAAT